CTACTTTGATTTTGGTTAAGGTAGATTATCATTTACAGTGTAATCAGTGAGGGGATTCTGCAGACTGTTGAGGGTTCAGCCTCCTGATGAGTCCGTGAAACTCCGACGAAACAGTTTGTCACAGCCCCTCGTTTGTTGTCATCTTCTCTCTCTCTGCCTACGGTTTACCGGGCAGTTCTGTTTGTGACGATATATGATATTTAAATGTTGCATACATATATATAGTGGAACTCCGAAGAAACAGTTTGTCACAGCACTTCGTTTGTTGTCCTCTTCTCCCTCCCTGTCTGCCTACTGTTTACCCGGCAGCTCTGTTTGACTAGATAGTGTATTATTATAGATGTAATATAATAATATTGACTTATGTACCATCAGAAGATCCACGAGTTCAAAACTGTAACTAATTTTCGATCTCACAGTGGTCTCCTTATCAGATTTTGCATGCATTTCAAATGCCGACCGTCTTTTTAGAAACATAAATGTTTTGTGCTTTTTGCAACTGGAGCTCCGCATGCAGCTTCTTCTGTATGTATATCATATGAATTTGTGAATGTTAACTTTCTGAAGGAAGAATTAACTCAAATATGGCGAACTGACAATATACATTCGGGTAAAAGTGTTTTTTTTTTTTTTTAATTCAGTAGATGGAGGCTACGGTGTAGCAATTGCAGGTCATATAGCTTTTCTTCCTAAGAGTCTTCGAAAAAGCCGAAAAGTTTTTCGTAGTCAATTGAGAATGTTCGCAATCTTAAAAATGAATCCAAAAATTTTGAATATCGTAGTCAAAGAAATKGGCGAACAATCACGAAAAAAAACAACAACAATAAAGTACAAAAAAAAATGCCTCAACTAGATCAATTTACATATTTCACGCTATTCCTTTGGTTATGTGTATTTTATTTGAGTTTTTATGTGTTATTATTATGTAATGATGGATTTTAGTACTCCTTTGGCTATGTGTATTTTATTTGAGTTTTTATGTGGTATTATGTAATGAAGGATTACTTTCGGTGATCATGTTTTTCACCTTATTTTGTGTTACTCATGTCAGCATTCTCACTTCTGATATCTCCAGCTGGCTGGCTGTTTTCAAAAACAGCCTTCTTTAACTTAGTATCTTGAGTTTTATTTGATTTTTTTTCTTACGATTTGGAATGATGGTGATGATGTGATGGCTTCGCTCCTGAATGGCAGATGTCGACAAGCTGGCAGGATGCAGAGATCTGCTTCTTTGCGATCGAATGTGTTGTAGAGCCAGGTAAGTTGTCTCCGCAGAGCTAAATTGCCTTTTTTTTTTTTTTTTTTTCTAAAAACACCCGCCAGTGCTAGTGGTGCTGATAAGAGCAGACACCGCTAGCACTTGGGGGGGAGGCTCCACCCTTGCCTTTAAGTTGGAAGAAAGTAAAATCCTCCGAAAGATCCGAACCTCGCCCTGTATACCCTTCTGAGTTACATATTATGTCCGTAAAAGGTGGGGGTTCTCTGCTCGTTCATTGGTCTGCTCGTTTGCTGGATAAGTTGGCCCTTTTTTTTTTTTTTTTTTGTTGTGTGTGTTGCGTGTGTGTGTGTGTGTGTGTGTGTGTGTGTGAGAGAGAGAGAGAGAGAGAGAGAGAGAGAGAGAGAGAGAGAGAGAGAGAGAGAGAGAGATCTGGGTAGTTGCTCGGCCGGATCGGTTACACTTGCGAGCAATGCTCTCTACTGCCTGTTTTTTTTTTTTTTTTTCTTCTTTTCCTTTCCTCTTTGTATGGTTGTATTTGTATTTTGCCCTGGTCTTCTTCTGGTGGTGCTCGTGAACCAGTTTCTCTGGCTCTGCATGGGCGCCTTGTGCCATTTCTGTCTCCGCCTGGGCTCCTTATGCCATTCTTCTGTGCTTGTTGTGAACACCATTGGCATAGATGTCACGATTTGTGGAGAACGTCGTCGGCATTGCGTCAGTTAAGACAGTCCTTCGCCTTTAAACCGCCAGTACAGGGGGGTCCCAGCCTTGCAGAACATGAAGTCAACCCCTCCAGCGCAACTTCTGGGGCTGGGCCACCCAAGATCAATTTCATCAATGGCCTTTGTCGCGTTTCCGGCCTCAGAAACTTGTAGTGGTAGTTGTGGTGGTGAGGGGGGCCCGCTGCTGATGTACGGCCGTGTGTTGGCAGTTTAAGCCCATTCGGCTGGGTGTCTGAAGAGCTTGTGCGGCTTGTGGCTTGTGAACTCTGTTTGTTGTGCTTGTGTTTGCAGTGAAGAAGGGTGGCCGTCTGGAAAACCCGTTCTTCAAGCAGTTGTTCTCTCAGATTGTGGAGGACGAGGAGACGGACTTGTTCCTCTCCCATCCTATCCTTGTGGCTGGTGTGGCTCGCCTTATCGGAACGTACGCTATGTGGTTCGTTAACCACCCGTCTTGCCTCGAGGGAGCCCTTATGTACCTTCTCCGCGCGTTGCAGGTCAGTCTTTGCCC